GGTTCGAGAATTTATATCCTCCCTACTTGTTTAGGGGTCACTGTTTCGAACCTCTTCACGAGCGCTTCGTGTTTTTAAAAAGGAAAATACTGTACTTTAATAATTTTCTAGTCCCCAATGATTTAAAATCTTTGTTGCTTGCGTGAAAAAGTTTTCAGGCCAATTTACACAGAATTATTCGAAAATGTTCCGAAGAATTTTTTTTTTCAAATAAATGTGAATTGATGTCTGAATCATTAGTTCAAATCTGAGCTTTATCTTGTCTAATTGTCAAAACGTTTTCTAAAAAGAGGGTTGTAAGCAACGGAGTCTCGAGTTAAAATCGGCATTTTAAGCTGTGTTACGTTTTGAGATTTTTTCCTTTCTTTATACTGTGGATTTAGATCGTCCAAACTTCAACCCGAATTGTAATTTATAGATACTTTTCAAGTTGAGTAATACAGTAGTGGAATGCTCGTGTGTAACCGGATTTGAGCCAATCTATAACTCGTGCACATTTTCTAAAAACTGAATTTGAGGCATTGGCTAAAATACTGGGTTGAAAAGTTCATCGTGTGCTATCGTGTCTCCATCAATGTGGATTCACCGTCGTTCAAACTTCTTGAAATGTTAATCACAGTATCTATTGCAGGTAATTTTCATAATCTGTATCGACAGTCTCGACACTCTCAATGTGTTGGACTTGGAGTATTTCTATTATTTTTGTTGTATGATTTACGGTAATTAATTGACTTACTCGGAAAAAAATCCGAATTCTGTTATCTCTAACTTGAGACCCTCAAATTCAGCAGTAACTTCTTGAAGCTTAAAGTTTCTTTTAATTTTATGAGAATCTTGAAAATGTTCCTAGATGTTTACGAACTACTCGACGAAAAATAATTTACATGCCGTTGTATAATCATTATTCTTGTAATCTCCAATTATTCCACGTGTGCTTTTCGAAGGGTTTGATCAAGAAGAAGTATTTCTTCAAAGTTTGTCTCGTAAAACCCAATAAAAAAATAACCATTCTTTGTCCGTCTCGCAGAAAAAAATAATTCCGTACGTTAAATTTCCCACTATCTTTTCAATCTTGCGAATTCGTGACTTTTCAATGAATGACAAATGACTCCTGTTTTTCTCGAATCGCGGTGAAGAGGTTTGACGCGCATGGAATTTTGAATTTGTCGTTCGGGAAGAAGAGGTGAAATTTCCTTGTTGTCGTTGTGGGTCGGGGGAAAATCTGAACGTGCGCTACGTCTTGCCTATAATGCGAAGCCATTTTATTCGTTTGGTCTCACGTGAGTACATTTTTGTTTTGTGGCGATGGGAGGAGAATTGAGGCTAACCGTGGGCGAGAATGACCAAGTGGGTGTTCAGGTTCTGTAGAAAAAAGAAGAAAAAAATGTCGAGGTTTTCTTTTTTTTTTAAACTCGTGTAACTCAAATTTTTTATAGAGGAAGAATGTATTTCGAACGGTCTTTTTTCTATCCTGAGCTCAGAAGCAATTGTAGACATTTTTTTTTACTTCAGTATGTTGAATTTTAAAAACTTGCCTCAAATGGTATTCGGTAGATTCTCGCCATAACAAGTTTTGTCTTTTCCTCTGCAAGTTTTTTTTTCTTTCGTGATTGACGAAGTGAATTCAAACTGAGGCCTTCCTTTGTTTCCCATCTACGGAATTTCTTAGCTGGCAATTTTCAATTACAGTAATACTCATCATTTTTCAAAGAAGTTTTGCTTGGCTTTTTAGCTTTTCCATACAAACTTTTCGGTTGAATATTATTAATCGAAAAGAGGTCTCACGGATTTTTTGTTTTTGTAATGGCGTTTAAAATTACAGTACCTCTTTCGACGATGAAAATATTCCACTTTGAGGGACACAAGATGCTGCATCAACTTACCCAAAAGCAAAAATTGCGTGTCTAGAGTTTTATATGAAATGCCGTCATGCCTTGCGCTAGTTTTAGCGGATTATGCAACGAAAACTGGATTCAAGTTTTGAACAATTCTGTGATGCTTAATGGTTTTTGGAAGAAAGAAAGAAAGAAATTTATCCCCGAGAAAAAACATAGAACATTCAAAAAAGTATGTGTACTACACGTCTGAGACGGAATAGAGTGTTTTTCTATCTGTGAATTACGACGGAGCGCTTACAAGAAAACAAGAAGTTTAAACGGGGGAAAGATCGTGAGCGTAAAAAAAGAAAAGAAAAAGAACTTGAATTCTAGATTTAAGATAATTTCTACCCAGCTTGAGAGTTCTCGTCCCTGAAAGCTTCTTTCCTCTCGAAACAAAATTTCGGGCCTTTTTCTCCTGGCATTGTTGGGAGAAGAAAACGAAGATGAAATCTGCGAATGACTGGCGGAATTGTTTCGTCGCAAAAAAAAATTTTTTTCCTCGCGAATACGGCAAAAAGTTGAAAGAAGTGTCTGGGGATTTGAAATTTCTGGTGCTTTTGAGGCGAAGTTTTTGCGCGTATTTAGGCAGATTTTTTCCCCTTCTTTTTCAAAAGAGGGAAAAGGAAATGCGGCTCTTTTATCTTCATATTCACTGTTTTCTTCAGCTGTTCTCACACTTGCTAAAATTTCGTTCTTTTCGTCTTGAGAAATTGCTCTCTGGTACAGTATTGCTGTTTTGGTCTTCAGCTATTCGTCATCACGTGCTTTTGTTTCTCTCTCATGTTCACACAAAAAAAGTGCCGCTCTTGAATCTTGATCTTCGGTTTTTTTTCAACTATCCCCTTCCAAACTTGAAATTTTTGCGTGAAAAAGGTGTAAGGAAAAAATTGTACTCGGATGCGTCCCTCCCCCTAATTTCGGAATTCTGGCGTGATCATGAAAAAGCGGGTTAAGGAGTATTGGTTTTTTCTCCGCTTGGGGTGTTTTTTTTTGTGTCTCGAAGCGTCTGTTAACACGGATTTTTCGTTTTTTTTTTTGTGGTCTGTCCGCGGGAATATTTTGGCAGAAGTTGGAGGGTGAAATGAGGGGGGGATAGCTGCGAGCGTTTGTATTCAGCTGCTTAGCCACTATCTCTGTGATTTTGTTTTACGCAAATGAGTTTTTTTATTTGCGTGGACAGTTTTATGCGTGATTGAGGACTTGTACAAAGAGGCATAAAGGGGCTCTGATGAAATGCGACTTGGCGACGTGTGTTCAGGGTGTCGTGTAATTTTCTAATTTTTTTTCTTCCTGCCACTTTCGTCTCAGATTGACTGGATTTTAAACAACAAAATTGGGTATTTTCTGTTGTGCCCTCCCCCGTTTATTCCACTCAATAATTTTAGGTATTGATCACATTTTGTCAAGTTTCGTAGTTTTCAATTGAGGCTAGGCCAGATGTTGGGTCAGGTCTACAACTTTCGTCCGTTTGACTGGATTTTGAAAAAGAATTTGTTAATTTTTGCATACCCGCATCCCGTTTATTCCACGTATCAATTAAAGGCGTTAATTACCTTTTTTCAGGGTAGGTGAGATGTTGGGTTTGGTCAGCTTACATTTCAAATTGAATATGCAACGTTTGCTTGATGTTCGATAATTCGGAAAAAAAAATCTGGGGTGTAACAGAAAATATCCAACGAGTTCCCATGAGTTTCTGCTCCGAACCCACGGAATTCCCGGCCTAATCCACTGACAAGAAGAGAGACTCGCAAGACTTTGTTTTTTTTTTAATGCGAAGTGATGAATACGTAATCTTTAGCCTCGCAATAAGATATGGGTAAGAAAAACAAAATTTTGCAATTACCCGTTGAACCATTTGCATTTTTTTTTGGATATTCAGCTGCTTGAGTTTAATATTTTGTTGTTGTTGCTCGTTTTGCGAGTCGAGCGTGCCGGCCGAAATCTCGTGGACAAAGTGAGTCAAGTTGCATTTCGTGAATCCCGGTTCGGCGAAGGTGAGGGAATTGAGAAAAAAAGAGAAAGAAAAACTTTATGGGATAATGTCCGAATGAGAGTCGTAGAGATTGATTGATTGATTGATTGATTGAATGAGTGAAAGAAAGGGGAGATTGAGGAGAGACGACAAAGAGGAACGAGTGAGAAAAAAGAAAAACACACACACACACACACACACACACAAAGTCCTGCTTTCTTGATTGACCACTGCTTTTTACGTCGCGTTTCTGTGAAAGTGCGGAGAAGTGATTAACAATGGACGAGCGGAAGAGACGCGGGTGGATTTCTTTTTTTTTTCGGCGCTGGAAAAAGAAAAAAGAGGAAAGAAAAACGAGGGGGTTTGAATAGAGAATCGGGTGAACTTGTGCTTGCCACTTCGTCTCGCAATTACTGAGTCGTGTGATTTGTTTTCGCATTAATTTCACTGCCATTTGTTTAGTTCGCTAAACCACGTGTCCTTGACTAGACAGACAAAAGCTGTTGGAGAAATTACGTAATTCTGACTAGGGTTTGTTTATACAGTTGAACCTTTATAACTCGAACCTTCCCATGTCAAAAACCTCACCAACTTGAATCATTTTTGATATTCAAGGGACCAGAAAATTTTGTTTGGTAGAGATATTTATCGTTGAAAACCCATATTTAATGGGTGGAGTACCTTGTATGCCACTTATGGGGCCAAAAAATTGTTATACTGTACTGAGAAAATAGTTGTTGACGAACTAATTGTAGAGAGCTTCTCACCTGTGTTACAATTTTCTTGAGGGAATTCAGAGAGGGACTAAAAATATTTGAAGTACGGAGATATTTTCCTGGGAGATGTCTGTACTGTAATTTGGTTGAACTGTGAAAAAAGTTCTCAAAAATTTCAGGCGGCTTTTTGATGAAACAAAAAAATTCATGGTGATTTTCAAAAATGAAAGAAAAATTCGCGTCATCTTGAAAGCTGTACAACAGAAAGTTATTGAGGAAACAAGTTGCATGTTTTTGGCTAAATCAGCGATCGGCTCTTCGAAGACAGTGGTGTGAAAGCGGGAACAAACCAAATGGCAGTGTATCAAGCACCGAATTATTATTTTTTTCGAATTGCGTCACATAATTTCAAATGTATTCGAACCATTCCAGAAAAAGGGACAAAGACATGTGTGCCATGGTTACACGGATCTGAGAAAGATTATTGTTATTTTTTTATCCAAAAAATATTTTTGTCGCGTCGGTGCTTTGAATGGGCTGCGCAGGATGCGAGGTGGATGAGGAGCAGTTCAAGTCGCCGCCGGTTGCACTGATGCAGCACAGCGGCTATTGCTTCATCCGTTATGTCTTCTGGATCTTCAACTGCCTCATTTGGGTAAGTTTAGCAAACGTTTGGAAAATCTCTCTTTCTGTGAAAACCGTCCGTCTTCATCTGTGCACCCAGTTGCCACCTAGGTCTGTCTTTCTTCATCAACCGTGGAGGACGGTCAACAGACCTTCTTCCACAGGGACTATTTCACCACTTTGCCATTTTCAGGGTCACGGGTAATATAGGCGCGCCGATACGGCCCTCCTCCAGTTACGCGTGGTCTCTGAACTTGGCACAACTTCATCACAGTGAACATCAACATATCCTTTTTTTGAGCAAAATTTGATTGTCTATTTAAAGACTTTATTCAGATTTTGCAGAAAAAATTTTCCATTACAACGCGGTTTCCTGAAATGTTATGGACGATGCGGACGTGATTGGACCTTATCCCTGTGTCGGAACGTCTGCATATTGTATCACGTTTTCTCTTGGACTTCGACGAGAATAGATTTAATTGGTTACGGGGTAACTCGCACAATTTTTCGATTTCTAATACTTCATTTTTATTTTTAAAAATTGAAGCTCAGGAAAATGTGTTGAATTTTTTGCGCCGAGATTATCTTTTGTCCAACATTGATCGTACTACTGTACTTTCATTTCTGCTTGATTATATAGAATCACTCACTCAATCCCGAAAATGTTTCATAAAAAGTTAATCATGAGCTGAACCGTGTTCCTCCACGCAAAAAATTAAAAATAGATTGAAGAGCAAACCGGTCTATAATAAAAAAGTAATAATAAAAAAACTCGCGGCCAAACATTCAACTTTTTACTTATGTTTTATGTTAACTACAACATGTTTCCTATTAGAGCCGCACTTTTAGTATGTGTAAAAAGGACTAGATCAATTGCAAAAATTAAATAAAATAGCAAAAATTAAAAAAAAGTGCCAGTCGTCGCTGTGCGGGGTATCTATTTAATTGGTTCTCCTGTTCATAAGAAGATTGGGATGAAAGTCCCCCAAAACATTGAATGAAAGAATTTTTCTAAACTTCAAAATACTGAAAATAGCAGAGCCAAAGAAAGCAACGCTTGAAAAATTTCCCGTGTTTTTCGTTGTGTAAAAAAAAAATGAATGGTTTTTTTTCCCGCGCAGATTGGGGGATGCGGACTTCTCGGAGCCGGGATTTGGATGAGGCTAGCACATGCCGGATACGCCAATCTCTTGCCTCATTTGAGTCTTTTTAGCGTCGATTCGCTCGTGATCGCGGTCGGTGTGATAACGTTCGTCATAGATATTATTTTTTCATTATTATTTTTTTGAGCGCCGGTTTGTAAGTTGAAAAATGAATACAAAATACAATTGATGTTGTACAAAGGATAATCTCGGCGTGAAAATCATACACATTTTTCCTGATCTGCAATTGAAAAAATTAAATAAAATAGCAAAAATTTAAAAAAGTGCCAGTCGTCGCTTTGCGGGGTATCTATTTAATTGGTTCTCCTTTTCATAAGAAGATTGGGATGAAAGTCCCCCAAAACATTGAATGAAAGAATTTTTCTCAGCTTCAAAATAATGAAAATAGCAGAGCCGAAGAAAGCAACGCTTGAAAAATATCCCGTGTTTTTCGTTGTGTAAAAAAAAAATGAATGGTTTTTTTTCCCCGCGCAGATTGGGGGATGCGGACTTCTCGGAGCCGGGATTTGGATGAGGCTAGCACATGCCGGATACGCCAATCTCTTGCCTCATTTGAGTCTTTTTAGCGTCGATTCGCTCGTGATCGCGGTCGGTGTGATAACGTTCGTCACCGCCTTTTTTGGTTGCTGCGGTGCTTGGTTTCAGCAGCAAATCTCCCTAATAATCGTGAGTAGATCTCATTGACTATTTATTGATTGTACATGTTCATTTTGTCGATGAATCTGCAAAGGTGAGGCAAGTTTTGATGAGATGTGTTTCAATTTGTTCTAAACTCCTCAGGTGTCGTTCTGTCTGTTATGGATCATATTTTTGTGCTTGAAGTGCTCTCTTTGACGTGCCATTAATTTTTGAAGAATCGTCAATATTACTCGAACATGTTCTCCTGCAGTTCGGTATAACTCCTTGTAAGACTTCAAAAAAAGCGGAATGCTAATTTACTCTTTTAACAACGTAATGCACGGGGCCAAGAAAAACATAGTTTTGGAGAGAATTTTGTTGTAGTGAACCCATACGTGTCTACAGCATGCGTTGAGACCCCCCCCCCCCCCCCCCCCCCCCCCCCCCCCC